TCCTTAGAATACATGCAGTCCTGATTCGACTGAAGTACAATAAACATTCGACTTTCAAGGGGATCACCCGGAACCCACTTGAAGCCCTTGTTGATGAATTGAAATGCAAATGAGTGTATTTATTCGATTTCGGGCTTTTTTGCTTGACTGGAACAGAAGGTATACGAAACCCCAAGAACTGAGCCTACAGACTGGACCCCAAGAATGGTGTGTCCAATCGAGAGCTGTCGCAGATTTCGTCCTTTGTCAGTATTCCTACTGGCGAATCCGGATGTTAGGCGAACTTACCAGAATTGTCTTCTAGAGCCTCTTCCAACTCTGCCATCAGCTGTGAACTCATTCTGGGACGGGATCGCCACATTTTTGCACAGTGTTGGAAGGTTTGCTTATGGCACGGCGCTAACAGGCTCATACAAGCACTGCACATCAGACCGAACGACAGTACTGGAGAAACATCCAAGCTGGTCCCGAACATAACGTGATGCGACGAATTATCAGACGTCAAATATAAGTGAGCGTGCAAGCTAACCGGGAAGTCTGGTGGACAGAAAATGCCAAGAAAAAATAAGAGGCACAGAAAACGGGCAACGCCCGAAGATTATTTCAGTTGATCCGTGCGACCAGTCCCCGGAAACCACTTGTGAGCGAAATCATCAAGGACCTGAATGGAGTGACCACCTTGAATAAAGAACACCCCGACCTGTGGGCCACATACTTAAAAAGACGATTGTTATGGCCACAAACTGCTACTCATCTGAAGCACACAGCTGATATAGAAGGACGGACGGTGAGCATGGAACCACGTACGACCGCAGAGGTTTACGACTGCATATGTTCTCTTAAGCGCCGCCGAGCTTCTGGTCCGACCACTTCATGCATATGTTCTCTTAAGCGCCGCCGAGCTTCTGGTCCGTATGACCACTTCAGTCAAAGCTTGCATTGGCAAAAGGAGGCTGCCACTGATAACTGGGAAGAGCTGGTGATAATGGCCATGTACAAAAAAGGGGCTCAAAGTGAGTATAGTAATGACAGGGGAATCAGCTTAACCCCGCTTGTAACGAAATGATAGCATCACTTTTTCTTCGTCGCCTTATTATGGCTCGCGAAACATCAGTTCAAGAGCAGAAAACTAGGTTACGGCACGGTAGGGGTTGCGTTGATCAACACTTTGTCAGATGCTAGAACAACCCTATTCGTATAAACGACCTACAATTCTAGCATTTCTGGATTTTCAAGGCGTATTTGACTCGCCTGGCTGATCCGTTCTTCTTGACTCTCTTACCCACCCCAGGAATGCTACCGGAAGTTTGTGAACATAATAGCTTCTTCGCATTATACCACTTCCGGACGTGACAGTATAAGAAGAGCTCTCCAAAAGCTTCCGTACACAGAGCGGTGTCCATCGTGCATGCCCACTCTCTCTATCCCTATTAAACTTCGTGAATGGTGAAATGATGATTCGAACGCTGGAAGCTCTTCAAAACCCTTGTGTAACGAAAACCTTGCCAATCTGGAATATGCAGACGACATCGTTCGCATCTTTGAAGAGGAGGAGAAGGCGCGAGAGATCTTGGAAGAACTGACCAAAGGCATCTAGTCCTTTAATATGCACTTTGCACACACAAAGCATTAGGTCGTGCTCCTGGACATGCAGTCAGTGAACGCTCCACTTACAATCCAGGGGGAGGTACTGGAAGTTGTGGAGCATTTTACATATCTTGGAAGTTATATGGGTTCCGATTGTAGTGTGACAGATGAGGTGAATGACTTGGCCTATTCGAGCAGCGGACCTGAGACGTCTTCAGGTGTTCGACAATCGTTGTCTCAGAACCATAACTCGTGTGAATTGGTGTCGGTGAATCCGTAACGAGGAAATCAGAAACGGGTACTTCCATTGAAGATATGTCCAGCACCAGAAGCTGCATAGGTTGGGACATGTGTTGCGTATTCTGAATCATCGTTTCCCCCAGAGAGTGCTGTTTTCCATGCCCAGTTCAGAGTACCGGAAGCAGATAGGCGACCAACCCTTCAGATGGCATGATGCTCACTTCGCCTGGTTGGAGATGCTGCAAGATATGGCTGCCAACCGATGTCAGTGGCACTCTTGTTGTCTGCTTCAATCCAGATTGCCTGAGTGAATGTCTGGATGTGTAGGCACCTCAGAATGATTGAGTAAGCTACCACCAAGTGCCTTCCCCGTCCACCTTTATTCTTTTCTTCACAATAAGGCTTTTAAATAAATCATGGTTGTACGGCAGCGAGCCATCGGTGTTGAACTCTGTCGATGATGATGATGATGATAATTAATCCCACCTGACACTATTTTGACTTTCCTCTCGTTGTTGATGACAAGTACCATGATGCCAGATAAAAAACTGCACTTTAAATATGCCAACTCGTTCATTACGACACTTTCGCTTGTATGATTGGGTGGAATAATGTTTCGTACACACACCTATAAGGCGTATGCACCAATGTCAAAAACAAGCAGTCTGCCAAATGAAAAAGATACGAGAATCGTAGCATAGAGATGTCATTCTCCTCAGTGGCCAACCACAAGGGAGATTAATTATTGCCCTAAGCCACTCTGTGTCCCTCCTCAAATTTTGTCGGAAACTTAAAGTGCGCTCTTTGTTTCCAATCTTACGTTATGGATGCGTGTGGGTACCAATCTAGTTGAAATGGCTAGCCTTCTAATTGCTTTTCCGAAGTTATCAAAAACCGATGAGACAGATGTTAGTGTGTAGTCAAAACTACGTCCTTCACCGTATGAGGTTGTTAGTTAAAAGCTATATCGTGTAAGTACACAGCACATGCCTGGTTCTGTGGCAAATGAACGAACCTGAAGTTCATCACAGATACATTTATTTCTTAATGGGCAACGTGTCCAGAGTTTCACTGGTCTAATTGGCTTAAATCAACACGCCTCAGTCCATTGTGAAAATGTCAAAAAGCCGTTCACAGGATTAACCAATCCTGTGTGTTCTGAATTTCAGGTATTTCCTTGACTCCACTTGACTGGTGATCTGATTTCAGCAGGGGAACTTACTAAATGTATGTTTTGTCTTTTTTATTACTTAAACAGATGGAGTGGTTTGTAAGTAAATGAAGTAGTACATTGTTTGATTAAAATGTCATAATTTTAAACTCAAAACCGGTTGCTTCATGCTACTGACCAAGTGTGATCTATTCCCTATGAAATTTATCCACGGTATTTAGAGAATCAAGCCTTTTTGTGTTTCCCTCAAACCCCAGCGTTTGAACTTTGTGGAATGGTGACAGAGTATCACACGGATATCCATGAGAGTGAACTTTTTTGTGCCAAAAGACACTGTCCTATCTACTATGCCTTCAAACAAGCCTTTGTTGTGTAATAGCCCCTCCGAAAATGAACTACGTTTGCCCATCGTTTCCCGATACTTTGATGGTGGTCATTTGATCTAGGGCCTACTAGGATTATGACAGTTGAACAAAATGGGATAGAAATCGCGGCAATTTATCAACACTATAACGTTTGTACAATCCTACTTCATTCCGAGTATGTAGTAGCTGAGGATGAACCACATGTATTGCTCCAACGATATGGGGTCAATTCTGCCAGCTGAGCAAATGGCACATTTTGTTTTACTGACAAGTTGTGCATCTGATGAGAAACGTGTTTTTTTTCGGGCAACACGTGAACAAAACTGTCGGATAGCCTGAGACCCTATGTTCACACTTCCTGCAAGCAAACTAGGATTTATGATTGGTATGCAAGGTCTTGCCAAGCATACTTCTAATCTGGACGACAAAATCGTCAACTGTACACTTGAGTGAGCTTGCTCACCAAGTCTTGATTTGCACGCAGCTTGCGGCTGCAGATCGATTGCTACGCACACATTTATTTATTTCATGATCTCTTCACTACTGTTATTTGGCTGGCTGTATTAGCAAGGTTGTCGAACCGATTCCACCTAGGAAAGTGTAGTAACGGTATTTTCCTCAGCTTAGTTCCCGGTCTGAGCCTCCCAAGCTAGCGTCAAAACAATCACCAAAGGTGCACAATGTCCATTTATGCCCAAAACGAAGTCAAGAACAACTGTACAGCGCTTCCTATATATAGCATAGGAAGCATAGGAATTTCTGACGCGTTCTGGATGCGACATTGACAACCGGCATTTGGTCAATACTGGGTCATGATTGGCTGTTGGGTCCAGATTGTCGACCAATCAGATCTCGTCTTGATGCCGGACCGGCAAGCGTTCCGAATTCTTGGCCAATCTCGTACGGGCTAGGCTTGTCGACCATAGAGGCGCCTGAAGGCTTGCGGTATAGCGGGGTCCGCGTGGAATCCTGCCTAACAGAAAGAAATCAACCATGTCGCCACCGTATGCTTTACTCATCGCAGCCGGGCAAACTGTTCCAAAATTTGATTAAAACTAGGTTTTGCCTATCGGTATGATCGGAAGGAAACGAAAGATGGAAAAAGTCACAGGATCTAAGGATGGGTAATTCCCAAGAAACTGGCACCTCAGTACAAATATTCACTTTTATTACGAATACTTTGTGCGACCGATGGACGCCCTTTGAAATCTTGCATTTTTTATACCGCAAATACGTGGGCAATCATACACCTAGCACTTATAGCTGAACAGCTGTCACGAGTTTGCATGAAATGTGAATACGAGTAGGTGGAATGTTTCTACTTATTCGCATCAAGTCACGCGTTTTTCCGTGGATGTACTCAACCGCTCTATTGCATCAAATTCTTCACTGGCTCTGTCTCTGCTAGTCGAATTTTTGCCGTGATTCTGAAACGGTTTGTCAACATTCATAAGCAGCTATTCTTGCTTACTGGCAAGTGGTTTTACTTGCGACATCAAGATACCGGTTTCAATGAGGTATATTTATTACTTCAATAAACTTTTGACTTTTTTCCATTCCAGTTGTCGGAGGCAAGGGTAGGTTTGGAGTACATATGACATGAAGATATATGTGTTGTGTGTATCTTAGGTGGCCAATTAGCATTGGAAATTGAAAAGTCTATTCCATCACTAACAACTGTGCATAACCTGTTCAGATTGTCAGGCTGTAGTGCCATTCCTCGTGGGTTTTTTATCAGATCACTAATATTTAAACAAATTACATGATATTATGCAAATTACGCACAAACCATGCTATCTGTCGTCTATACTGATGCTACAGGTGATTTTTCTTTGGGTGACTCACATGAAGTCGGTACCCGACAAGTCAGTAAGGTTGAGAGACCAAATCTCGTCAGCCATGAGTAGCATAGTGAGCTTTCATTGCTTGTTGGTTCCAGAAGTATTAGTGACTCCTCATAAAGAGCGCTGTGAAAGATCATGGTCGCAAAGGATTCGGTATTGCAAGTCCGATCGATCAATTATGAGTACACTCGGTCACTAGCTGAATGCACTTTTCTTTTTCGAATACAATCTACCTATTTCTAGCGGAGAGCCTCTAAAAACTGTCTTGCATAGAGCAGAGTTTGTACATTTGGAGAATTCGCCATTATTCAGTAGACATATCACTAACCGCACATGGGAATCTATCTTTTCGGAACAGTGTTTTACTACTCCCGACGATATAAGTAGTTTGAAGCGAAAATATATGTGCGGTTGGAACAGGCTCCATATGTGCGGTTGTTGGTTTCTCAAGGAAGCCCCCCACAGCCGTAGTTCTTAGGTTATCACGTTTCTGCCTGAGATTCATGAACAGGATTAGATGTGACAGCAAAGCTTTGAAAGCTGGATTTTCATTATCCACGCGTGGAGAATATTCCCTTGTATGTGAAATCCCTTCTGAAGATACGGATCATGGTTTTGTTCCATAAAATGTCTACCTTGCGGATACATACGGGGCGGATAATGCACCTCATCCTTCGAAGTTTGCGAATAACGTATGCTGATGTCGGTTGGAATACTTTTGACTGCTAGGACATGGGAAACATTTTGTTTCATGTAATCGTTGCAGAACGCTTTGATTCGTCTGCGTTACGATCATTGGTTGAAAACAAGCGTGCCTTTCATGTGCTCATGCGCCTGTCGGAGTATACGTGGCTCTCCTAAATTTCCGCCCTAGTCAAGGGTGAAATTCATGTCCAATGCTGTTACGGACTCTCGAGAACCTGCTTTCTCATCTAGTTGCACCATTTCTCTTTCCCACTCCGGACATAGTTGAAATTCCGGCACCAGCGTTATGGACACCATCGTTACGGTTACACGCTCGCCTCGCATGTCAGATGTCCAAGGTTATGGATATGCACAGCTGATTTAGCACTAATAAGAGCGAAACTCGAGCCTAGTGCTTCCCTTTGGTGTGGACTCATTGGAATAATTACGCCAGAACAGGAGGACGACCGATCAAATGAGAGTGGTGTGATTATGAACACGTTGTGGGAAAGTCGTTTTTCTTAGCCCCCCGGATTATTTTAACTAAAGATTCTCAGCTGGGCTGTCAAGTGTTTCGCCTTAATGTGACCCAAGTGATCAGCCAGCTCTGCCGAAACGTGTGACATAGGTAGGCAACTCTTAGCTTTAGTATAAACCAGGATAACGCAGAAAAAAGAAGAACCTGGAATAACGGAGCGGTGATATTTTGAAGGCATGAAGATCAAAATGTGAATTTTCTGCGTGATTTACATTATTGCTCCCTTCAATTTTCAACTAGGTGCGCAAGTTTCACAAGTGACCTTGAGCCGGGAGCGTATGATTTGGATAGACAACGTTATGGGTGACACAGGGCTGTTCAAACTCCACTCGCAAAAGTAGCCAGGGGGGCAAATAATGCATCCGTCTCTTTTGGTGTGATTTTGTTTTCTTTTTGGCTTGGCTGCATCGAGAAACAAAGTTCAACTAATTCTCCTTAAGGCGAACGAGTCTTGAAAGTATGGAGGACCAGCTTTCAAGGCTTTTGTAACTTGGTAGCTGGTTCCATCGGAGGTATCAAAAAGTACGCGTATCTAAACATATTTTGACTTCTGGATGAAGGCTGACCTTACCTGCATTCAATTGCTAAGAGTTGTTGTAACGAGCAGTGTGGTTTTCGAGGCACCAAACGATTGCTACTACTTGGAAAAACGTAAGAAACTCCAGCACTTGTAAGGCAATAACAAGCCCTCTGGTGCCACGAGTGTACGCTTGACCCATTCACACTCCCAGATTCAACCTATTTTCTACTCCCAGTCAGTCTTTTTGATATTTGAAATTTATTTTATCTATTTTTTTAGTCGGCTTAGTCTTAGAAGATGGTAAGTAGTACATGCTTTATTTTACCAAAAGTACGGTGCTGTAATTTGTGATCTCTCAATAAAACATGATATCTACGAACTGCTGTTGGCGGTGAAAAGTATACCTTCACTTCATGTTCAAGTAGAAATTTTTGTCGGCCATCCATTTGTTGGATGGTTAATCTGGCTTGAATCGTGCCTTGACTCCGGTGAGAAAGCCTTATATCAAAAAATTAAGACAGGGACTACACTAGGACCTCCAACGTTTTGCAGACTAGACGAACAAAAGTGACAGCCCAAACGAACAAAAGCAGACAAAAAGAAGAGAAAATCTTACAGAACCATCACTAAATAGTGATGTTATTTGACGCGCACCCAAGACAGCCATTTTTGAAAGTCTTTAGACAAATGGAACCAGCCATAGAGATCAGACAGTACTTCAGACAATACTTGAGAGTCGACCTTCCAGAAGAAGGCGATGCCGCGATCCCGGACGATTCGGATCAAAATTTGTCTTTAAATTAACTTGGCAAAATTTAGGTATTATATGGATCACTTAGAAATTCCGTTGGAAAGTCCGTTGAGGAATAATTGAACTAAACTTTACAAAATGTAAATAAATGCAAACTAAACAGTGGTACTATCGTAAACTCCGGTGTCATTTTATTCGTCGTAAAACATTTGATTATTATTTGCAATGGTACGCTAGGATCATATCGTAATGCTTCACGACGATGAGTTCTGGAATATAAACTTTGTAAAAGCAGTCTAAATACGCGTCCTGACTGCGTTGTTTGGCGGAGAAACCAAGTTTCTTACCATATTTCTATCCAAGTTAGTGGCGTCCACCCGAATCATGTCTGGTTTTCCAGCAAATACTGCTTGTTTGAAGTTTTCCAACCACAACGAGTTTTTTTTAATCTTTTTTTTAAAAAGGATTCAGTATGCTTCCATAAAGGACACTACTAACAGGATTGCTGAAAACTCTTTGATAATCGGTTGTCGGAGAGATCTCAGCAAACTTGTGAGCAGTTTCCTTCGCGAGTACACACTGCGATATCTCGAACATTGTATCTACTGAAACATGAGGCGCCTTCGTGCAGCACTTTTAGAATATCATAAATGGGAGAGTCGGTTGAGTCCCCCGTGAAATCCCAGTTGATATGCAAAGCGGTGTATTTGTCGCGGATTCAGTATCCCTTACGACGTGGTAAATATTTCAAGAGCTGAAAACTGCAGGCAGTATACACATTCATAACAGAAAGTCAAAACGGAAGTAGGAAACGCGCAAAACAAGTGGTATCCTACTAGTGTTGAAAAAAGTGATTTTGTGTCCCGCAAAGAATTCTCCGTCGGACTCCGCTTCTAATCACTGTCCATTCCTCAGCAAAAAGCTGCTGGTTTGAAGCGAGTTTTTCAAACCCCGAATGACTTCACCAGTTTCACGTAGTTGTTAGTGGAGTTCAGATGATCCGAGGAAACATATTTGGGCCCTTCTGTAAGTGCATCCAATGGAGAATTATTGAGAAATCACTTCTCAATCTAAATTCATTCAAGTGTGGCAGCCGATGTAAGCGTGTTTTTAACCACAAACAACTACAGCAAATGGCTTTCTAACTGGCCACCTGGAAACAAAAGGTGAGGTGCAACACGTTTGGGACCAAATATACTACCTTTTTCTGTCCCAATCTGGCAGTCCCTATTGTAGAAAAGTATAAATTTTAATAAGCTGGGATAAAGATCATCTTAAAAACCTAAAATCCACGTAGCGATGCCTGCGAGCTTATTTAGCGAAGACATTTGTCAAGATCTTGGGATGACTTGGGTCCCGGTCACCGACTTGAGTTTCCTCGTGTGCATGGAAGATCAGGTAACGCATGTAGATGATGGCAGTTATGCTATGCATCTCGGGAATCCGTGAAAAAATCAGGAACTTTCGACAGTTGTAGTGGTTTTTCCGATCAACAGACTGGAAGCCACTAAACGTCTTTACCTAGGTGAGGAGCTAAGGTATATGAACCCTAATGTGATGTTACTTTCAAGCGTCTCTACACACACGGAAGTCCGATGAAATATGGTATGTGAACAAGCAGAAGGGCTCTCTTGAAGCTCATCAGCCACGAATGACATTGATAGCCTATTGGCATCAAGGTTCTAATAACGCTTAACCGGGTGCTCAATTTGCGGCAAAGTATCGCGTTGCTAGCACCTAAATCACTTCAGTTTGGGGATGTCCGCTAGTTGATGTAAGCGGTTATCACTGGTGATGTATCAGCGTTAAACCGGATGAGCATAGTAAGGGTACGGGCGTCAAGTAATTTTGGAGGATAGATAACTTTCCTTCCGCCTTAAATCTCGATCAACCTCGGAACCTAGTCACTTGGCCTGACGAAGCTTTTGTGTCAAAAGCGAAACGTTGCCCAGCACTAAATCTACCGATTGTCACCAAACGTTTTCGGAAATAGATAACTTTAGTTTTTAGCATTCGTATTTCTTCTTGATCCGCGTAATTCCAATACAGAACAAGCGCCCCCATCTTGAATAGATTGCATCATCTTGGCTTGTTCTGGATCCTGTTAATAGCCATTAGTTTTCGAATTGAATACATCTCGGTCAAAAGATACACCCAGATTCTAAGCAGAAGACTTGAGAGTCGTTGGGCAGTGCATGTCACAGACAGTAACGCAAATCAGACTACAATTAACTGTGGACTGATGCTTTCCGGGAAACACTGGTGGAACAAGATCAGTTTGTTCATGTTTGACAACCTGTGGGTGTATTTGCGAGCGGCACACATATCATCACCAATGCCACAAGCGAGAGCAGCCGCTAAAAGGAAGAAAAAATACACACAGATTTCGACACTGTATTTCATCATACCCTGGCTTGACCATCAAAGACAAACTTCTTGAGGAGCGGAGCGATTAGAGTTACGTTTAAATAAAGTATTTATCATTCTAACCAGACTACGCTAAGATGGAAGTTGTAACCTTATTCGCAAACCAATTTGGTTTTCCATGGAGACCGAAGTGAACCTCTTCTTTAGGATGTTTTTGAACTGTATGTGCTGCACACAGGTCACCTCTTATTTCAGTTGGTACGATAATCGAGATATCGCAATGTATTTTCATAAGGGAAACTACTCACAAGGTTGCTGAAAACTCTTCGACAACCCACGACCGGTTTCGCCCTTCTTGGATCTCATCGGGCAGGCACAGTCCCCGAGTTTCCGTCACCTTTATGTGAACCCAAATTGGATTGACTTCGACATATATACCCGTTTGAAAATCGATTTGATTTTCACAGGAGACTCAAGTGAATCTCTCCTGTATGAAATTCTTCAACTGAATGTACTGCACAATCAGTTCAATTTGATTTCAAGTAGAACATAAGGTTGACGGAAACTCAGGGACTCCGCCTATATGATGAGACCCAAGAAGGGCAAAATCGATCTTGAGCTGTCAAAGAATTTCCAGCAACCTTGTGAGTAGTCTCCTCTATGAAGTTGTAATTATTTGTTTTCGTGTTTCCATCTGGTCAAAGATGAATGACCGAAGCTGTTGTAAGAGCAGGGAAGCGAATATGGAAACGGTTTTACGGTCTGAGCCCCTTTTTACACCCTGACCTCTCTCAGTAGCGAAATGAGGCGTACCCAGCCATTTTTTAAAAAACCCGCATTACTAGATCCACTGAAGGTGGTCTACACAAGCCGATTCTGGCATCGATCCTTTCCAAGAAATATATCCTCAAAGATCAATTTAATTTTCTCCACAGCTCTAGAAACACCAAGTGAGTCGATAATTCATACTGTCATATATTGACTCTTTGCATCAATACATCTTAAATGCTCAAAAAACGCTTATTTCGACAAAATATATACCTGTATTTTGATGAGACCCGAATACTCAAGAAGAAAGAAGACGATAAACAAAGATTTAACTGGGCAACTCTCAAGAAACAGTAATGCTTTTAGGGAAGTACTTCAACATCTGGAATATCGTTTTGACTGAGATTCTACCAATTGTCCATTTAGCCTACTGTACTGCAAACGCAGAGCTAACTTACAATGCAAAATATAGGATGTGTAGTTTAGTAGCATACTATCTGAAGCCAACAGGTCATGGTATATTACCTAGTCTATATTATCCGAAAGAACAAATGGCCTGGAAGGCCAACAACGAACGTGAACCAACTTGTTGGAGGCTTGAATGAGACGTGAAATCCGTGGACGGTGTTTTTTGAACTCGTCTTTGGTCTCAGCCGTAATAGTAACACGTTTGACGTCAATCGTACAAATTCTACATTCTGCGCAGTTGCAGAATAAGTCGCTCATTTATCGGTGATTTTCGTAGACGTGATAAAGAAATCACCCCACATTTATGTGTTCTATATGGCATTGAGTGTTCAGTCTTGCCACTGACTTCCACACCTGACCTAGTATGATGGACACCTTGTGCCTCACGTGCACGTACCACGCATTGTTTGTCCCTTCTTCGGTTTCTGATCTTTACACTGGTACTTCCGTACCGAACATTTTTGCGAAAGCTGGGATGCATCTTGGCTAAGTGGAACCGTTGGTCGGGCGACTTCTCTTGTAACCCTTTCGCAACTATCGATTGCACGTTCTTCTTATGTTTGCGACCATGCTCCTGAAAAATAAAAGATTATGCAAGTGATAACGTCAACGTAGATTGCACAATCTAAGATGACTTGAAAATGTATCCCACCATTAGGTTCGGTGACTGCTTTATCTGACGATAACAAGCAGTGCGGCACCGAACCATCACAGCGTGTCCATCAGGTGCCCTAATCAATTGTTCCGGTGCAATTCGTCGTGCCTTTTTCCCATCCCGCTTCCAATTTGTGGATTAACAGTCAAGAAAGAACTCTGTACAAGTTGAAAATGGCACCGGCTAAGGACATAGAGATTTGGGAAACTACTCTTTCACTGTGTCCGATCCAGTCCTCCGATTGAACAGTCAGGAACGAGCTATTGTTTGAGTCAGCAAAGCAGTTTTATATAATCGGTGGGTTTGAACAAACAAAAGCCAATGAAACACAAGTGTCGTAGGGTGAAACAGAGCGCGAACCAATAACAAACGGGTTCATGTGGACATCTGGCTAACAGATGGGTGAGCAGTGGGTCATGCTATTCACCATCCAGTAAAAGCCAACCACTCAGTTTAACTAAACCCCGATTTTCCGGGAAGATGGCAAGTCTGAGTTCTGGAACCAAGATTGACTGCATCTTAGCGCTTCAGCCGGGGACAAAATACATCTGGTGTAAAACAAGCCGAAGAATATTCCGTCGTCGAGGTTGAAGGCCCCCTATCTTCGACACAAGTGCTCGAGTACCCATTGAACAAGCCGGTGGGCAGTGAGTCATGGTGAACTAAAAGTTGCATGCCAACTAAAGCCCACACTTTGTTGACCACACGCCCAAGAAATACGGTGTGAAAGACCATAAAACGGCAACTTTAGATCTACAACATTTTCAACATTTATGTGATTCGAACCCCATTGACTGAGTTTCCCAGCAGTGGCCGATCGGAGCTCATACCGCGGAAAGCTGGACGACGGTAGTTTACCGGCTCGACAACGCTGATAGAAACCGTATTTTCACTGCATCCATGCATTGTGACTTTGATTGGTAAAGTGAATTAAGGTTTCACTGCAAAGAGATGCTCCCTGACTGGTATTTCGGAAATCCATTGAAGCTTGCGACGAAAAATTGCGATATGTTTATAGCCTTCATTTGCATCAACTCACAGAACAACTTGATTAGCTCAGTGAATAAGAATAAAATGCCGAACGTATTTTTCAATAGCCTGCTGAAAAATTTTCGGCAGCCCATCTTGCTGTTAACTTCCTTCATGTTATCTGGATATCTCGAATGTCGTTCAGACTAAAAAATGTGTGAAACATTCTGCTGAAGATTATCGTAGCTAATGTATTCGGCTGAATCTCCCATGAAAACCAAGCTGATGTGCAAATGAGTGTATTAGTAGAAACCTGTGAGTATGTTGTGAAAACGGTGTAGGCTGACAGGTTTCCGCATATCATCGTTCCTGCTTCAAGCCGGCAATCAATTAAATAGTAGTGACTGTGATAACTAATTAAAATTGTATGATGCAAATTCAAAACGTTTTAAGTACCGCTGCTTTATCGCAGGTCTGTTTGTATCAGAAAATTCTGCTCCTAATTACTCTTGCTTACCAGAGGGTGGAACAATAAAGAAATAATCCTCACGATAAATTACTTGGCAACCAAATTTGAGCTCAAGTGCACACTTGGTGCAGACATTTGTAGAATACCGACGTTACTGTGTTGTTTTTAGAAAAAAAATGTGAAAATTGTTCACAAATCTGCAAACATTTTCGCTTTTGCTTCCAAAGCAACCAAGCTGAACCCGAAGGGCATGCTGGCTGAGTAGCGAATTGAGGTTTTAAATGAAAATACTGAAATTTCTTTCTGTTCATTCGAATTATTTTGGACTCAATTTTTAGAAAAATCATGCAGTAAGTTTTGGTAAAAACATGTTTTTTGTTCTTTCCTCAAATGCAAAGCAGAATTACGCGTAGAAGCTTTTGAAGTTTACTTAAAGGTTGATTTATTCTACGCCCCAGGAGGCTGGACTGAACTTTTACTTGAATTTCACTGTTTAGTTGTTGGTGATTTCAACATATGTGCCTGAAAAGCGACCGTCGCTTTTTCTGGTTGCATTTTTTTGAAAATAAAACTTACTAGTCTACTGATTCTACTATAAAAGGCATTTGGACAGCTGTTCCTCAGACGAGATCGATTTGTGTTTGTGAGTATGAAGTCAGATTTCAGTGCCGGCTTACCAGTGATTCCACTTAGACAAGCAACCAGTATATACATGTATCGCGATATCTCGAATATCGTAGCGACTGAAACATGAGGCGGCCTGGTGCAGCACATTCAGTTGCCTGAGAACACCACAGGCGAAAGATTCAGCTGGGTTCCAGGTGAGTGTCTCGAAAAACCAAATAAACTTGCAAATGAGTGTATATTCGCTAATTTCGTGCAACTTGGTTTGAAGTAGAACATAAGGTTGAGGAAACTCGGGGACCGCATCTACCTAATGAGCTCCAAAAAGGCGAAACCGGTCGTGGGCTGTCGACGGATTTTCAGCAACCTTATGAGTAGCGCATTACAAAGGTATACAATATTCATGCAGTTCCGATGTTCCTCAAACTAATAGGGTAGAGTGGTGAAGTTTTCAGTCACACGGTTTTATATGTGGTTCAACCCGCAGGGACAAAACACAACACTTGCGGTAACCCTTTACTTATTTTGCCCATAGATTCGTGTTGGTTAGAAAGCACACACTGATCGCTAACTGTACATTGGGTTGGTAGATTCGAACTTCCGTGGTTGTTAGCCTAAAGGATCCTACCAGAAATTAGCTTGTCTGAACTCAGGAGAGTTCGAGAAAAGAGAAAAATATTCATGTTGACCAGTTGTTGATATCTGACCACAGGTTCATACTGATAAAACAGTCCGGTTGTGAGGGGTGGCTTAATTCTACTCGGCACTACGTCGCACTTCTATCAGAGGTTTGCTCGGATTTGGGGCGAGAAAAGTTTAGAGTGGTAACCTTCGAATTTGGATTGAACTTGCACACTTGTTTTCTTGGTAGTTACTAGTTGATTCGTGTTCCAGGATAATTTATTGCCACTACGATGGTTGCACAGCAGTCCTTGGGACAAATAAATGATCCATTTTGCCATTTTCCGCCACAAACATCAAAGATATCGAGTGATAGACCAAGTAGTTAAAAAGACAGTATTGAGCGTTTTAGCCCAACTATTGGTCAAATCTAACGGATCACATTAGACCGTCATTGTTGTATGTCTAAGAATTTGGCTCTCATAATAACTACCACTTTGGCGGGATGTTTCTTGAAGTTCGAGGCCGGAGAAGATGCTCCCATGGAGAATCATAGAAGATTGACAGACAATAGGTTTTCCTTATATTCACTTAGGTTCGATGGAAAGTATGATTCCAGTTTGTTAAGGGCCTAATTTCCTGCTCCGTAATTTTGTTGAAAGCAACGCCGAAATAACAAGTGGATGTTACCTTGTACGTAAAAGATAATATGTTGCAAATGGGTAGGGTTGTTGAAGTTCGATGGACTAGACTGGGAGTAATTGGTCTATAGGCCTGTTATACCTTCATTGGCAGTGTTGTGCTTTACTCCCCGAGGTTTTGTGAGCCGACATTTTCCTACAGACTGAGTTCAACGATAACTGAATATTCATCATATCAGATTAAGTTTACACCTCAAATATGTATTGTCGAAAGAATCTCAAACTTTAGTATGTTTTGGACAACTGATGGCGGTAATTAAAGAAGATACTAATTAAAGCAACTTGGAAAGTCGAATTGGATAGAAAACCAGATGGATCTAGACGGTTTCAGCACTGGGGCCATCCGAATTTCTATCGGCCAAACGTGATCGGCTGAGTTATCAGTTTCGTTAATCCCTAGAACATTTCGCATGATGCATGTCTAACTATCATAATTTTGGAATTGGACTAACCCATCATCGTTCCGTTAGCCTTGAGAAAAATCTTGAGAGTTCTAAAAATAGTTTTGAAGTACAAAGTGGTCCACCAAGAGAATGCCCCTCAAAAAACCGGTGTGCTACTCACCAAAAATTTTTTTTCAGAAAATGCAGAAGCAATCATTCTACTGGGTAGCCCCGTGTAAGGATAACCATACCACGCAGTATCTCCACCCAGCTAATGCTTAGGCTAACCGATACCTGGGCCAATGCACGCAGCAATCCTAGGGTGGTTATAGAGCCGCACTCGGTGTCTGTCACAACGTGTACGATAAGTGATGGCGAACTGGACCATCGTCCATCTTTGGACCGGCGGAAATGCAGTCCCAAAAGTTTCATTAGACTGACGACAGAACAGCTATTTTATTGCGCTTAACTTGGGTTCTGGCGTTAAATGAACTAGCAAATACATGTTCGGCCAACTGAAGCCGTGCATTCGCACAAACAGTTTAATTCCAAATCGAAAAGGGAGACAAATGATTTTGTTCATTGCTAAATTAGTGAACAAACCTGAAGATTGTAAAGAGAAAGTGAGCGCGATAGGGTGGAGGAAATATTTTCTTCATTTTCTGCTAAATCAGACTAGGTAAATATTTCCTTACACCTAAAAGAGTTCAATATCTGTTGAAAACCTTCATCATGAAAGCTCGAAAAAAATCATTATTTGTATCACAGAGCATTAGCTGTTGTTGGCGAATCCATTTCAATTAAATACAGACATTTTTTCAGCTGTTTCGATGTGTTATGCGCGCAAGAGTCTCAAAAACTTGGACGCGAAAATGAAGAGGTATTGTCACTTGCATCACCACATTCCATCAGTCGACACAGATGCACGCGAAATGGAACCACATAGGTTGCAGAGCTCTTTAACTCAGCAGGTTTTCAGATATGCATTTCATCACCTGCCTGCGTGTTCAGTAAACGGTAAGGATCTCCTTTTCAGCTATTGTGTTGGAATAAATTGTGTGAATCAGCCAGATAACTGAACACCATGTCACAGAGGACAAAATGGGGATCAAAAACTTCCAGTAAGCAGACGTTACATCCATAATCAAAACCGACCAGCTGTGACACCCTTTCAGTGTCTGGCTGCCATACCACCTGAAGGAAACATGTGCGATGGACACTGCCAGATGAACCATGCCTAGACAGGAGGAGTCGAGAACTCAGAGGTCAAGTTGGAACCACTGACCTCCTGGTCGGTGAATTTACCCTGTACTCATTGGGCCCTCTTGCCCTGTTCTTCGGGACATTCGTTACAATTTAAGCAGTAATCGAACTTTCAGGAATTAGTCCTGGGGAAGAACGTAGCCCAACATTTTAAATATTCGTCTAACTGTAGCCGAAAGCATTCTTTGCGCTGCTCAGTGAGAATGAAACAATCGGAAGCAGGTGGTTTATTCTTTTCTAGCTTTAGTAGCCTTCAGAAGCAGAAACGATTTATTCAACATCGGTCATCGACTAAACAGCGCTTTTCTTAGCACAACTCTCGTTTCCAATTGATTTGTGTTGTGATCACTGAGCCACCCTGTCGAGTACCTTCATTAATGTTACCTGACAATGAACGAACACTTTAACAAGTAAAATAAGTCTATGATTTCACACACAGACAGACGGCAGACTGAGTGTTCAAAGTATGCTCTGTTTTGGCACATGCTTTACGATCACTGAATGAGGACCTCATCTGAGCAAGTATCTTGCTCGGATTCAAGCTGTTACATTAAAATTCAAATAGTGTTCTTGGCAAGCCTCGTTTAGATATCCCAGTCGTCATTTTGAAGGCCCCAGAGTTGTGTGCCTCTTTTGTTCCCAGTTTCAGTTAGCGGCACTCCTCAGTAATGAAGAAGAACAAGGAAGATGAAATTTACAGTGCCACCGATAATCAAGTGACCTCACTGAAACCACATATATACATCTAGTCAATCCGAACGCATCCAAACTGGGTTTCTCGACTTCGTCCAACGCAGCTATAAGCCATCCGCCGATGCTGACATACATTAGCCGCCAGTCTGAGCATAGATAAGCGAGGAATTGATCCGATGATCTATTTAACGTCTTTTCTTGAACCAGTGCAGATGTGCATCCTCTATTATTTTTGTTCTGTTTAGGACATCCGGCTAACAATTACTCAGAATGTATGATTGAAGACGAAGCGTCAGGTAATACGCAATCCAGCCGTCGTAAGGTGAACCGTTCGAATCGCCATCTATTCTAGTTCGAGTGCACCATATTTTCCACTCACGTGCAAGTGTCATGTGGACACCATCTCATCCCAATGGCTTATTTTACACCACTCAATGGGTCATGCGTAACCACAGCGTACCTCAATTTCTTACTCTCTAATTTCCTATAGCTGTGATGGATTGTGGTTTCAAACCTCGCGTTGGTGAACGCCGAAGTGTCTCCAAAACCCTGGTGTTCAAAAAGCCTGTGAAGAAAACCTTGTCGATCTGAAATATGCAGTCAACATCGTTCTCATGTTCGAAGAGGAGGAGAAGGCATAGGTATTTTTAGATGAATTGCCCAAAGGCATCCCATCCTGTGGTATGCATTTTGTACCTACAAAGTGTAAGGTCATGCTACTGGACGTGCAGTCACTGAACACACCACTTACAATCCAGGGAGAGGTGTTGGAACTTGTAGAGCGTTTTACGTATCTTGGAAGTCGTATTGGTTCTGATTTTAGTGTGACAGATAAGGTGAATGCACGAATCTGCGAGGTTCAGGCCGCGTTTGCTAATTTGAGACACCTGTAGAGTCAGAATGGCTTATCCTTGAATCTGAAGGGACGTGTGTATCAAGCTACAGTACGAGCTGCTTTGTTGTATGGCTGCGAGACATGGCCTGTTCGAACAGCGGAACTGAGACGTCTTCAGATGTTCGACAATCGTTGTCTCAGAACCATAGTTCGTGTGGGTTGGTGTCGGCGAATCCGAAACGAGGCAATTAGAAAGCGAGTTTTCGGTTGTGCAACGGGTACTTCCATTGAATAATGTGTCCAGCACCAGAAGATGCGTTGATTGGGACGTGCCGCGTATGCCTAACCATCGTCTGCCGAAGAGTTCTGTTTTCCATGCCCAACTCAGAGTGGCGTAAACAGANTATGAAGGAGATCACGAAACGCTTGGGTGCTGTCGGTGGTACTTGCCTTCCAGGATGTGAACCGCTTGATCCTCACTGTGCCTGGTTGGAGACACTACAAGATATGGCTGCCAACCGATGTCAGTGGCGTTCTTGTTGTCGGTTTCTATCCAGATTGCCTGAGTGAGCGTCCGGAGGTATAGGCACCTCGGAATGATTGTGTTAAGCTAGCACTAAGTCCCTTCCCCGTCCATCTTTACCCTTTTCTTTACAGTAAGCCTTTCAAATAAATCATGGTCGTACGGCAGTGAAGCATCGGTAACACACACTGGTGTCATGCTGTCGGTGCGGATGATGATGACGATCCCACGTTGGTGAACATCTCTTCTGCTCGTGAAAAATGTTTCCTACAGTCGAATCCGAAATGTCATACACGCATTGTTCACTCCTAGCAGAGAAATCGAGCATGGTAGTCTGGATCAAGCGGTTACCAGAAACAAGAATATCCCAATAATTAAACTTTATGTTTAAGCAACAGCTGACCAGTTGAATTATTTTGTCACAAATGGAAACGTATTTAAAAATTTCCGTAGGCTTTGGTCTGTTTCATTTCCTTCCTCCGCTTATCTCATTTCTTTTCAAAAAAAAAACCAACAGAAGTTACCAACTTGGTTGCAAATGTTCAACAGAAATTAACGGATGCCTACGTTATAGTCAACATATCGTGGACTTCTCCGTCGAATTGCAAGATCCGGATGTTCAAGTATTCATACATTGCGAATACTGGCGAAAAGATCAGTGGAAGCACAAGCGAACGAAATGCGATCATTCACTGGGCCGAATACTGTGCTCCTATAGATTTCACAGTTTGGGGCGAAACTTCCGAGGGACAAGGAGATACTTTACAGAAGAATATCACTCTGGCTAAAAGTATGTAACGAAGCGAACAAACAAACGGGTAGTTTACTTTAGCGTATTTTCCGCAACAGGAAGGTTTACCTTCTGTAGGATGAGTTGTTCACGCCGGAACGTGATCCACTTTTTAAATTGTAGCCGTAGAAATGACTTTTGATGCATGGACAAACTGGTGTTTTACTGACCTTTTGACGTGGCTGTTTACCAGGCGGCGCCAGATACCAACCTTTGAAATAGCAGTTTTTAGTAAACCTCCTTTTGATCAAATGACCTTGAGGTACGATTACAATAACTGTCGGCTTTCCACATTCCCAGTGGCCTTAGGAAATAGCTAATCATTTTTAACCTGATACCTGGGTTGGATTAAACGTCCAGGGCAGGCGATGGGGACGTACTCTCTTGCTGAGAACTGTCCGGTGATCTGCGTCAAAGTCTTGGGCTTATTCGGATTGTGGGTAGTTTGGGAGGCACCGAAGGGCTGTTTCATCCGTATTGGGGGACTCCTTGGAATGCTGTCTGAGTACGATTCTTCTAAAAAAAAAGCATTATGGTTGATGTGTTAACGTCTTGTGAGTTCTTTCATGAACTGTGAAAATTTTTTTCATCGACTTAAAAAGCATCTTAACCTGGAATGTCGTTTGCTGAACCTACCCTGTAGTATTTCAAGAGACGCAACCAAACTTTTGTATGGCATGAACCAAAAGGCCATTTTCGGTTTGACATTCATTAAAGGGCTCAGTTTTTTCTGAACGATTGCCACCTGGTGTGCTGGAACCGAGGCCATTGTACGCCCTTCTGTACTCGTGGATCCACGATCCTAAATGCGCATCTAAATCAGACACTGTAAGCTACTGTTTTCGTAGCTGAGTCCTTTTAACGCCAAAAGATTCTACTTCCGAAATTTTTGCTGAACCCCAAGAAAAATCGTACCAAGATAGCGCACCTTGTCACGCAGAGTAGTGCAATTGCACATCTTTATAGCTAGGAGGTAGTTGGATACACTCAGTATCGTGTGCCGCTGGTACCTGGGTAAAGATTGGTGTAGTAGGTAACTGAGAGGACAAAACATATTACTCGATCACTGCACAGCTCGTTACTTGCCTCATGTTTCATTGCAGTGCATATATTATAATCTTTTTTATGGTACATTTCAAGCTGCGTGTAAAAGAATGTCACGTGTCATATTGTCTGTAACCCACTAAGGGTCACTAAGTACCTTCTGCTTTACATTTTGGACAGTCGAGGATGTTTGATTCCTAACAGTAACTTTCTTTGTCCGCACGAGTACAGAACGACCACTTGCTAGATAATATTAGCTAGCAATATTTGTGCCACCAGAACGAGGTCAGCATGGACTTTCAGTGGTTTGAAGCACCGTCTGTTCAGATAGAACACCTTTTGAATTCAATTCTGTGCATTATTTGTGTGTTGAAATTTTTCAATCACAAATTAAATAAGACGAACACAAGTAATTACATGCGTTCTGCTTGCACATCGCGTTCAAAGTAACTGAAATGGAAAAAAACGGCACGAATCGCACCTGAATAATTTCAAGGAGAGTTACCTGCATGTGGCCTACAAATGAAGCGGAATATTGAAAAAAAATTGTGTCGAGACTACTTATTTTGAGGATGCTCTGGTTTGTCCTCATCATGTGCCGCTATTCTGGGCAGACTACGTTCTTAGTTTTGCACACTCTAAGCTTTTTTTTACATAACCTGAATATACGGTTTGTGGAAGTTTCTTTTTTGCATCTAATCAATAGAGACCTGTATGTTCCCCTCGCCCAAGTGCCTAAAACGCCTGTCAGCATTGGTCGAATTCACTCAAATCAATAACTTCTGATTGGCGATTCACAAATCTCCTCATATCATCAATAGTCTTACGATCGATCAGAGAGACACACACGGAGCGTGACGGTTGCGCATGAGATGTCATCACTTTGATAGCTTTTTTGGACATTATTTGAATTTTTTGAGTGAAGATCGAGTGCCGCTGTTCATTTTCCGTCTACTCACTAAGTGTGTGAAATAGGATCGATCAGTTTTTGATACTAAATGATTTAATTCCGTGTTGAAATCTTAATCCATTTCTCTTTTCTATTCCTTTTTCTCAGTACCAAATATTCCAGTCAATGCTCAAGCTAATCTAAATAGAGACAAACGAGAGTGGTCGATAACCTGGGAGGACACGTCTGAATGTCATTTTATTGTGACACACTCCTATATCGTAAACGTATACGATGCGAATGCTCAAAGGACCCTTCAGAAGAATGTTACGCGGAAAAGCGTTCAAATAAACGAACTGGATCCTTGTAAAAAATTTTCAGCTGGCATTATCACAGTTGGTATCGCGGGCCAGAGCCCGGAATCAAGACCGGTGGTTCTCCATGTTCCCGAAGGTGAGTTGAATGAATGTTTGGGATTTTGTGAGATTTCGATCCCATTTCTTGCCATCGAGTACGTTGGCAATCACCGAAATGTTCGTTTGGTAACAAAGATTTGGAATAACAACCGGTGCAGTCGGGTTTCAAATTTAGATAACATGTTTTGATCCCTAGACGGTGGGATAACAATGCGGTAAGGAAAAACAGGATTTTTTTCAAGAGTCAAAATCTGCCCGATGCATACTGTGCGTCACGTGCACAAAGAGACTGAAGTTCCACAAAACATTAAAATTTGTCATAATAGAAAAAAGCTTGATCGAAACTTGTCCCACAACGAGTTGATGTTGACAATGTTTCAAGATTTTATAGATAACAGTTTCCAGTAGATGGTAGTTGAAATAAGGAACTAGTGTAGAATATTGATGGTGCTTCAAATACAGTCTGATTGAGAGCTTATGGAGAGCAGTTTCCTAGTGCTGTATGAATGAAATTATGAAAGGCTTTAAACTGGCTGACGACTGGGAAGTAAACCAACAGACTGAACCCGGAGGCCTCCGTCTGGGTATGGTGGGATACCAAATTTGCCGCCAATTCTTTTTGTGTACTGAAACACGGAAAAATGTCAAACTTGACAAACGGAGTTGCTGATTGGAAAGTTTTGGAAAAGGGAACGACAACAACGGTGAGATGAAGTTAGCAGCCACTGAGATAGTGGTTCTACTTACCGGTTGGATGTAGCGGCGACCTTTTGAAAAACTGAGAACTGGATAACGTTGGGAGACCAATACTAGAGCAGTCGATGTGTGCATATCGACTGAGCCCGTGAGCTTGGACACATAATTCCTCATGATGTACGGACCAGTGAATCAGGGGACAACGCAGAACAGAGGGGTTATGTATATACTGTCAGTCGTAACACCCTGGTCGCGATCAATAACGAAAGAAGTTTCGGGTGTAACTACAAACTAACTGGGTTTGTTCCCGGCAAAACTATATCCACTACCTCCAACCGGAGACAGCAGCGTGGATGAACCGGCGACTTGAGCTAGTTAAATCAAATCTAAAAGTCAAAACTCAAAAAATGCACTCAACTTTGTCCAGGAGGTCCTTTTGTTTACTCAA